GATACTTTTATAATTTTTCTTTTCTTTTATAAACATAATTAAAACTTATGATAATTAATAACTAATTAATCTCTTATTTATGTAGATACTTAAACAATGGAAGGAACATGTGGACGAAACAAATGTAAAAATCCCAGCAAAAAATCTATTTGATGGTTTAGGTTCTTATGGTAATGGCGGTGCAATGAAAATTGCACCTGTACCATTATTTGCTTACAACAATTATGATAAACTTTTACATTATGTTAAAGAAGTGACAAAGATTACACACACACACGAATTAGGAATAAACGGTGCTATTTTACAAGTACAAATCAATTTTTATCAAAAGAGAAAAATGATATTTAGTAACAATATATTTTATATTAGATATCTGACACAAAGATTTATTATCACAGGCTATAGCAATTCAACAGAGCCTACACTTAAATCCCAGCGAAGAATTGAATGTCTCCAATTTTGTTGACAATCTCATAAGTAAAATGGATAAGATTGGTGATGATTCAAGGTATATTTTATATTGTGATATATATATATATATATATATAAAATTATATTTAAGCAAATATTAAATTGTGCATAAATCATAGCCAATTGTACAAAGAGCGACTAAGCATAGTAAAGAATCTAGTTTCCGAGGAAGGAGATGATCCTAATGAGGAAAGAGTAGTTCAAGAATTGGGTAATAGTATAAGAGCTTTAGAATCAGTTCCTACTGCGATCTTTTGCTTCCTAAGAGCACAGAGACGCATAAGAAGGATACGAACTGACAATCCTCTTAGAAGAGCAATTCAGTATGCGGTAAATTGTATAAGCTTCATGAAATTTATCATTTTATTTTTTATATAGAAAAGGGATTTTATATAAAAAAATATTAAAAAATCATGTCTTTTAGTATCTTTGTCGTTGTTCTTGTAGATTACTTTGGGAGGTGATACAGATACAATTGCCAGTATGGCTGGTGCAATAGCAGGTGCATTCTATGGTTATGAAAAATTCAGCATACAACTTTTATCACATTGCGAAGAATGGGAGCTATTTCGTGAAATAGGCGATAAAATGCTGGATCTAGCAATGTCTCAAATAAATAAATAATGTATAAATAAATATATATATATGTGTGTGTAATGTATATATTGAAAATTATATATCATATAAAAGATTATGGAAAAATTTTTATAAAATAGTGTTTTTATATTAAATATTATTGTTATGATTATTGTACATTTAACAATTACAACTGATTAATAACAAGTATTAAGACAGAAAATTTTATATCTTTAGTATCTTTTTATGTTTCATTTACATCACTCTTTTATGGGTTTTATTCAATAATTTACTACTTTTAGGTGACATATTTTTTGCTAGATATAATTACATTTGCAATTTATAATTACAACACATTACTATTCATGTTCTGCTATCTCATTTTATTTTATATTTTCTTGTTCATATATCATTAATATATTTTGTTTTTAGTATACAAGGAATAAAGAATGCATTTAATAATTAATTTAATAAGAAATCTATTCAGGATATGCCAACAGAAATGTTCAGAATCTTGCAATAAATTTAGTATCTAAGTTCATCTAAGTTCATATTTTATAATATAATGGCAGAATCTGCTGACGGAATCTGATTATCGACGAAAATTGAAAACAATCTACCGTAAACAATAAAACAACAGATTCTGCTTGTTTTTCATAATCTGATATATTCTGTTAATAGATTCTGTTATATTTCTGCTGACAAAATTCGTAATAAATATCTTGCAAAATCTGTTCTGGCAGATTTGGCTAGCCGGATAAGTTATTTGGAAAACAAATCAGAATGACTAGTATTCATAATTCTTCGGAACACTATCGTTCATTACAAAACTGGATTCACATCGGTATAATCGCGCTTTCATTAAACTTAAAGTAAAAATAGAAAATAATATCATTATTTTATAAGTTTTGTTAAACAAAAATATATGGAGGAGGAGAAAAGACGTATTGGAAATCGCTTGAATGTTAGCGTTCCAATGAATTCCCTTCTCTTAATGTGATCACAGAGATTTTAAATATAAGTATGGCCGCGCGATCAGTCTCTATCAAAGCGCACGCTAAAAGTGTATGTTTTATTATAGATACGTCAATATCCAATTAAAAATAATAATGATATATGGCAACGATAGGTATATCATAAACAATGTCTCTTATATAAAACTATAAAAATGTATCAATTGTTTATTAATAAAAACAATTGTGCTGTTTCTTCAATCACGTCACGTTTTTACTGCACATTTAAATATATTATTAATCTTTCAAAATTCGTTTTCCTGTCAAGTATCCAATCTATAATCACATTTTTTTATAATACAAATAGAATGTTTAGATAAAAATATGGAGACTTTAGATGAATAAGAAAAATAACATTTTTAAAAAATTACTTGTGGAGATGTCTAATAGATAAAATATTCGACACTCGATTCGACTTGTAAAATAATATATGTCCTTAAACGCGCCAATTCTAGGATTCTCAGCCATAGCTCTACATACTTATGTAAGATCACAAATAATTTAAAGATTATATACTCTGAACAGCAAATATGAACACAACGAAGACATTGCAATAACACTCAATAGGGCACATTCGTAGTACTTCGTACACGTAGACTTCATACAAAGTTCTTTCGTACTCCCGTACATCCGATTTATAAAGAATCTTTGGAAAAAGCTCCTATAAAAAAGATTATAATACATAGACGTTAATAACCGGACCGTTAACAATTTATATTCGTTTATATTCGTGTAAGTAAAATCTTTTCTTTCTTGATTAGTCAAATTAAAGTCTTGAAGTCTCATTTCTTTGTAAAATTTATAAAACGTTGAAAAATGCATTCTCTCTCGTAACAACGAAAGTCTTGACTTCATCGATCGATAGCGAAAGACTACTGTTGTAATAGCAACAGATCTTGCGCAAAGTTGCAAGCAAGAAGATAAAATATCTCCCAAAGCAACAAAACATGTGTAAAGTAACGAAATGTTTATAATATTAATGGAAGTAGCGCATAACATAGTTCTAAATTTTTACGCGATGAACGAATTTTAACAAAAACAACACGCGTTTCCTAAAAGTAATATCTTACCGATAAAAGTCTGCCGGAAATCTAATATGCTTCTAAAAACGTTTAAAAATGTTCTCTTCAATATCTCAGTCTCTATTACCTTTAAAAATATTTGCTATATATATATATATCTCTCTCGATTTCAATATGTCTAGTCGGTGTAATCGCGCGGTATTCCGATGATAAAAATAACTGTCTTTTCGCATTTATTCGACCAAAAACGCCATTAGAACGAGGAACATTTAAAATATCTAAACTTTACTTAAATATATAAGATATGCAATTATACTAAATATTTGGATTTAGTTGCAGATTTTAGTTGCAGATTGGATTTGATTATTATATGTAAATAAAAATTTATGTAGCATAGTTATTTTTTAGACAACTATTAAACGACTTTCAATTTTTTTTTTTAATTCTCCATGGCGCTTTTAATTTCCATTTCACATCTCGATTCCTCGGGCGAAAATTATGAAGCGAAAAGACAAAGCGATATAACAAAACGAAATATATTTTTCGGTGGGAAAATTTGGAAGTGCTGCGATTCCATGGTGCGGCATTTAATCATAATTCCACGGGTCAGTGTTTAATCAAACACGCAGGCTAGAATTTGTACAAGGCAATTTCCTATTCTAGCGCATGTCCTCTGGCCTTGACTGGCACACTCTCTTCTTCTATTTTTCCGATTATCCTGTCGTTCTTTTTTGCCTGGCCTCAACATGTTGCACTCTTCATCTTCGCGTTTATAAGCAATCCTAGGTGTATTAGATAATCTGGATGGATGAACAGCTGCGGTACTTCGAAGCTGTGGATTTTGAAGGAAAATCTTTTATAATCACTTACTCCAATTTACCCATTGTTGTTATTAAACGCGAAATTAAGTAAAATTGGACGTACGAAAATAAATCAAAGAAATAAAATTTACTCGATAATTTTATATATTATTGTAAAATTCAAAAACTAAGCCTCGCACAAAATTTTAAAACAGAAAAATTCGTCTCAAATTCACCAGAAATATGTATTTTTTTGATCGTTTTTAATTTACCCTACATTCATAATTATTAATATTTTTATGTTGTCAAGCACTTTGAAAGCATAAGGCAAATTCCCGATTAAAAAATGTACAAACACTCACACTATCATTTTTCGAATTCTCAGGATGTCTGAGTATTTTAGAGACGATGTAGACACATTCCTCATTAGTCAGGATACCGCTCGCCATAGGACCACTGACAAATTCCCGGTCGTTCATAAGAAGATATCGCACGCTGAAGCAGACGTCGTCCGAGAGCACAACTCTTTTATTGACTGCCAAGGGTTCGACACCCTGTCTTCTACACTCGGCCGCAGCCCACCTGTCCAATGCGGAAAAGAGGATGCACTCACTGCTGAGATTTAGAGTATCACGACGTGCCAATTGTGCGATTTCCTGTGCACTGAGTTCCTCAAAACGCTCCTGATGCAGCACTCTTGCCGGATTCGAATCGATCACAGATAGGCACTTGAGCAGAAGTTCGGTGCACACGGCAGCTGCAACGTAAACGAAGATGTTAGGGCCGTTCCTCTTACATCTTAACACTAGAAGAGTCGGATTTGGCGACTCCTAAATAGGAGTCGCCAAAGGAGTCAATTTGGCTCCAAGCATATTTTCTTCGTAAATAACAGAGAGAAAGAGACGAAAGGTAATATAGATAATTGTATTTAATGTTTTAAACAGAAATATCACTAATTTATTGAATTAAAAAATTGTTATTGTTATATTATATTGAATATTTTTAGTTTTTTAATGAAAGATTTTAAACGTGAAATATAACGCCGTTATGTACTACATACATGAAATGCATTTGTACATAATTCTCTTCACGCATTTATCGCACATAGATAGATACACATAAAAATATTTACGTATCTAGTTAAAATCAAAAAACTTGAAAATAAAGTTGTAAAATATATGCGAATGCAATATCAGATATAAGGGAGCCAAATTGGTTCCAATGATCCTTCTAGATCATTGATCTTAAATAAAAATTCAACCGTCTTATATAATTGAAAAATTTTTTTTTTTTACCAAAATTAAGAATATGAAAAATAATGAAAAGTCACAAGATCACGTAGAAACAAAGTTGAAAAAAGTTATAGGAGCTTGAATTTCGTGAGGAGTCAAATTGGCCTCCGATCCTTCCAGCGCTAAATATCATTGAGATATACTTCGATTTCAGTCGTTTTTTTCTTCGAGCATCGATCTATAAACTCCAAAATGTTTCATCCAAAGAAACCTTACCTATCACACTGGCGTCGTCCCCGGGCGATAGTGGTGTCGTCGGCGAATTTGGCGATCTGTCAAAAGCAGAATCTTCCTCTCGCAGATCATTCGCGAACAGACCGAGACCCTGATAAATCTCAAGTACAGTTGATGGTGTGAGGTGTTTCTCGAGATACGATACGGCGAGTCGCGCTAATCCAGGGCAAAGATACTGATGAGCAGCGTCGAGCGTAGCCCTAGCCGTCGACACCGAAATAAAATTGACGGGCTCGTCGTGAAGATATCTGCGCAACGAGAGATAAGTTGTTAGAAACAAAATTCAAAAAAAGATCAATCAATGATTCTAATTCCACCCTTAGCGTTACAATTTATTACAATTTATATTCCTTCGAAGGTTCATTTTTAAGGGAATTTCATTCATTTCTCGGTGTTTTATGATTTTTAACAGATACTATTCTATAAAAAAAAAAAGAGTTGTATTTTCGCAGTGATGGTTTCTTACCTAAGAAAATGATCAAACGCCCGTTTATCAACGTGTTGCAATCGCAACAATGGCGGTGAATCTGTTAATGGTGGTGCGAGCGGACCTGTAAGCATCGCCTGAAACCATTCCGATCTTCTGGCCAGTCGGTCTCTTTCGACGCAATACGTCCATGAATCGCCGGGCAATCCAGCCTACGTTTTAAAATTTACAAATTATTGTATTTTAACGAAAGTATCATGATAGAAGCTATAAAACTCTACAAAATTTATTTTTTTTTTATAAAAGTATCCTACTATTTTTGCGTGTACTTCTTGATGTGAAAATAAGGCAAAAATATGGTAAGATTTAAAACATCATTTATTTGCGAGAATTTAAATCCGACATTAAAATCAATAATTTGTCAAATGTGATAAATTAACTTTTTTTTTACCTGAAATATCTATTAATTAATATTATATCAATATTTTTATAAATATTATATTATATTTATAAAGAAGTTTTGTATTGAATTTATACATAAGATTACTTTCAACTTTATACCAAAGAAATATTTGCATTTATTTTTAGAGCATACCTCCAGCATCACAATATTTTGACGATTTGCGACTTGTAAATCACTCTCAGGTGCCATAAGAGGGATTCGAGACATATCTACTTGAAAATCCTTATATAAAGTTTTTATAGTCAAGGGTGAGATTAAAATTTTGGAGTAAATTTTGTTTCGTAGTCCTTGAGATTTTTCGCGCCACTTCTCAGTCAGGATATGAGAGAATTTTGAGTTTCCACCTGTATAATAATAAATAAAATTCTATTTAGAATATATTTTATAATTATTCAAAAATCTATGTAAAGTAAAAAATTACGTGAATATTATTTTTATCTAACTAAATGCGTAACGTATTGCCGTGCCGCACTTTTCAGAAACATACATCAGTATTATGAATAACGAGTCATTTTTGTATTTTTACGGAAAGATTTTTTTGCGATCGCACTGCCCGTGATTCACGGAATCATTATCTCACGGGTGGGTTTGATATTTTTGTACGTTTATCGATCATTACCGTTTACTTTATATCGACTGCTGTGCCAATGTTATGAGAAGCACAGTATCTAATTCATACATGGGTTTTCCAATATTTGCAGAAGATACGACTTTATTTCAATTAATTATTGACTTTTTTATATTAGAATCAGATAACGCAACGTGTACAAATGTTTCTGAGAAATATATATATAATTAAACAATATAATTGAACAATATAAGCGTTGATCTTGAAATTCAGAAAAATAAAAATTATTCGACACGAAGACCCAGTCTGCCGATGGAAGCCATCTATTGTCTGTTTGTTTGAAGAATATAATTGAATTATAGGATGATTACTAATAATAGCACCCAGTTCTTTCAACAAGATTTTTATAAAAGAAATTCTCAATAGACTGCAAATAGAAATTGTGTAAAATATTTCTGTGTAATCTCTAAAAACAAAATTATAAGATTGTCCCGCAATAGATGCACTATATCAATGTGGAAGGTATACTAATGATATTGATATCGATACTAATATGATTGCCATTAACATGAGTGAGATGCCGCTTTATTGACAAAACAGCGACTGTTTGTTAGCAACCGTGTACGCTTAGCTATAGCTCATAACATTAAATTTGACAAAAATGTTTCTAACGGATATCATAATGTCACTGATCTGAAATTAATCTTGAATTTGATTATATTCAATATTAAAATTAATTAAATAAAGTTATCAGAATTAAATTTGCAAACTTTTATTTTGCAAGTCTCATTATCAAGTGATAAATATATTACAGCAATTTTAAGTGGAGAAACATGATTTGTAGAAAAAAAAACCAAAGAAAAGACGTGTAACGCGAATTTATCCTTTTTTTTTTCAATTTTTTAAAACTACGTTTTTTTCTGTACATTTTCCCAGTAGTTTTCACTTTCTTATATATTTCCTAATTTAAATCCCGATTATATTCTCGTTTTATTTCGAGTATATATTTGTGAAACACACCGCAACTAACAGGAATCAAATCGAATAATACTACTAATTACTCACCATTTTGAATACAATTCATCTCGACAAAGTCTTCAATTTTTTTGTACACTATTATACCGGTTTCAAGCGAATTATATTTTATCAATTATTATTACTTTCCTAGAAATAATATTAATCTTACGTTATAAGCCTCTACACTACTTCACGACATTCGGGAAACTATCGAGATGTACATATATTTGTAACACGTTTGCCGATACATATTTTGTTTATTTATCATTGACGGGCAGAATGAGGACATAGAATCGGCGTAGAGGCCTCAGAGAAGACAGTCTTTTCGAAGCGAGAAGTCTCGCTAGACTGACAAATCGATCGGCCTCGTGCCTGCACCATGAATGACTCAGATCTTCTCAGGGGAATCGGTTAATGTAAATGCGTGCGCTTACGTTTCATCGACTGCACAATTGTTTATAAACATTGTCGATCGAGCGGGAGGGAGCGCTTTAAGGACGTTGAGGAATGTTCGTGCTCCGCAAAGAGGGGCCTTATCGATACTCCGAAGCTGTGGGACTGTTAGGAATCGGGGGACAGGAAAGGAGTCTGTTTATCCGTTCCGAAACTCGAATCCAGTGTCGAAGAATGCAACATTGATGGCGCGACATCGACTAATCGTTCAAAGTCTCTCTTGAGTGAACGGTAAACGATAAACTCGACTCGAAACCTCGACTAAAACCTTTTCGGAATCATTCCCCGCCATAAAAGTTCCTTTCTTCTTGAGAATTTTTTACATAGAAAATATTCGCTATATTATTCGAATTCCGCGAACTAAAATTATTTTTTTCAATGAGATTTTTTCGAGCGGAACAAAAACTGTGGAATAATCTTTTCTTCTTTTCTAAAAATTAATATCGTGCGTATGACAAGGTCGGTGTCAATGCCGTTACGTGTGACAATACAATTGCAAGAAACAAGCGCGCTCTTTTACACCGCCGCTCCGTAGATTTCCGGTCGGGAGTATACAATTCTGTCGCGAAGAACGCGGATACACGCGATCGTCCGCGGGAATCGAAAGGTGTTAATTCTCGAACGGGCAAAGACGATCGTGGTTCGAATGAGTGATTGCCGCGTGTTAAACGAACGCGATCAAGCCGGTCTCTTCGGCGATGCGAGATACGGGAAGGCTCTAATTATATTCAGAACGGTCGTGAATGAGTCCGTTTGAAAAGTCGGAATCGCAAGGTCGGTTCCGGTTCACAATGCAAAAATACATTAATATCATTATTAACGGCAGTTTTTTTTCCCTCTCTCGAGATGAAAATTCCTTTCTTGCGTAGAAAATTTTCCGCGCTTCGAGCAAATTGTTGGATGAGCTAGATTTGCACGCAACAGGATGCGTGCAAATCGAGAACGAGCGATGGAATGAATATTTATATCCCGAATTTTCAAGAGAGGGAGAGGTGAAACGCCAAGCACCATCATACCTAGAAATATGCGAGGAAACGCAGTGAGTCACTGAGTATGTATCTCTGCTGTATGTTACATCGCGAATTATAGTGAATGTCCCAAGTGCTGCATCAATACAAAGACATTTCACATTTTGCAGATCGTGCATTAAACGTAACACATTTCACGATATTAGCGGTAGCAATAATTTATGGCAAAGCAGAGCATCAAGTATGTACCTTATTATTAAACGTCACTCCGCTACGGGAATATCAATGTACGTGTGTGTTTATAGCTGAGGAGTGGCTCATTGAAACGATCGTCACGAGTACTCGTAAACATTACTGATTGTGCGTATTAACTGCGCTAAATGTTATACCGCATATGAAGAAAAATTGTACTAATATAAAAACGTTAAAAAAAAAAAAAACAGTTAGATATGTATATAAAAACAATAGTGACTTATTAATAAATAAACTGATTGACTTGTCGTAAATACACTATTCATTAAAAAATACAATGCGATAAGATATAATTAAAATATTAATGCTAAATTTAAAATCTTGAAAAATATTTCATTACTCAAGTACAAAGTAAAATTATTTCAATTATGAAAGATTCGATAAATGTTATAAGTTTTCGCGTGCTGTTAATGATTTACTTATTATTACATATTATAATAAGGAAAAATTAAATGTAACTCGAATATTTATTATTTACAAAATTTTGAGATAGCACTATTATATTTGCTAATATAATCTATTTCAAGTATGGAATATACCGCGTGTATACCGCGTAAAATCTTCGTCGATAATCTCAATATCATCAGGTCTCAGCTTCATGAAACAAACAAGCTTGCGAATACCATGGATGTTTAGTGAATCACGGTTTTGCTAAAATTAGAGCTACGAGAGTCCATACACGAGTGTTGAACGTCGAGACGCTCGATGGGATGGGAAGCGAAGTAATTCAGAAAGAAAATCATTTTTACGGAGAGAAAGGGAGCAACGTATAATTCGAGCACAGCGTGAAATTCAAGGAAAATGAATAGAAGCATAATTACACAACTGCGACGACCGCATCGCATTCTTCGCTACAAAATTCGGCGAGACTTGTTTTGCAACGTGGAGACACGTGCGGCAGAATAATCTGAAAGGAGCTGGTTTTTCAAACCGGAAGAGAAGACAAGAGAATAGAGCAAATGGAATTCCAAGAAAATGAACAAGGCACAATTATATAATCGTAAGATATGTGCGCATGGGCCATTCGTATGCCTCTCTGCAAAATACATTCAAAAATTCACGGCAAAAGCTTTTGTTTTACAACGGAGACGCGTGGTTAGAATTTAATGAAATTTAGCGCAACTACAGCGGCACAGGATTAATGCGAACTGACAGCTACGCGAATAATGATAATTAACTTGAACGAGTACCCGCTCGGCCTTTTAATCCAATTAAAATTAATGCTTCCATTCCAGACGCGCGCCCGCATTTCAGCGAGATGTATCGGTGCGATGAACGAAAGAGGGTCGAAAAAAACTGGGCGCTTCTTTTGAGTTATTATTTTCGTATTGCATCGGTACTATTATATATCGCATTAACGTCCAATCCAATCTGTATCTGTTATAATATTTCCAAACGTTCTATAAATAATAACAGATATTTAAGAAAATTAAAAGAAGATTTGAGGATTGAGCACTAGCATTCTTTGAGAAATTGAAATATCTCAATCTTTTATTTTAAAATACGACAATTTATATTGTTAATTTTTTTTTCATCTATATGGCATGAATTTATTTAAAAAAATCTTTAGGACTAGTAACGTTTACTATTATTTAATAAATTTTCTATGGAATCGTGTATTATTACATAGAACTCAAAGCATTCAAATGCGAAATGAATCATGAATGACTTAGGAAAAGAAATTAATTACGCTTTAGTCCTTGTCGCGATTATGTAATGCGACCATCGGGGTTCGCCAATTGATTCAATCGAGAAAAAGATGTGGAAAAGGCTTCCCCTGTACTTAAATCCGCCCGCATATGTGATGATCATTTCTTTTCGAATGAATGCAATGCCAAAAGAATAACTACCATCTTCACAAATGCTCGTTATAACGAATTCGATATGTTGATTAAAATATCTTTTAAATAACTCAATTTAGCAAGCATTATATGTCGTCTAAATTTCGAACTTTTTTATCTGCACATAGAATTCATATATCTTGACTCGTCAGTCAATCATTTTCATCAAACTCTAGTAATCCTGACAGTAAAAATAAATTAAAAAAATCGATATGTAGAACTAAGATACAAAAGAAATATTGAATTAATATATTCTATTAAATTCTATTGAATAAACGAATGTTTACATTATATATATATATATATATATATATATATATATATATATAATAATA